AACTATCAAGATTGTTTATTACCATCGGTTTGCACTTGCCGAGACATCTTTTTGTAAATGTGAAATTTATCTTCAAACCCTTGCATTCATAAACATGTAGTTTGTTAGTTGTTTGTTCCTCCCCTCTTTTCGTTTTAAACTTGTTTGCTGATTCATGTTCAGTAAGCCAGCTTACGCATGTTATCGCCAGCCAAGGGTGGGAGGGCTGCTAGAAGAAGACTTCCTTTTTACTGCGGAAAGAATGGGCTTGTTCTCCTCCCCATGCTAACACAACATGGTGGCAGCAACTGGTTAAGGATGTTTGCTCCGAGAGGACTTCAGTAAAAAGTGTACCAGGACGACGACTACGAACTGATGGCAACAGAAGGCGGCAGTTTTGAAGAACCAGATGTTTGAATCGCCATGGTGGCTCCATTCTTTGCATGCCATCCACCGGAAGAGATAGACTATTCCAAGTCAGAGGACTGGCCCCAGTGAATTCGGACGTTTGAGCATTTTCGAGTGGTGAACCAAGCAAAAAGCAGTTCCGAACAGGTCAGCGCCTTAGTCTACTGCAAGGGAGACGAGAGCAAAGATATTCTGCTCTCGCCGAAGCCGACAGAGATGCAAATGCAGCAGTAAGACGCAGTACAAAATGCGTTCGAAGGAACATAATTTATGTCAGGGCTTAGTTCTATTTGCGGGTGCAAGAGTCATCGGAGTCAGTAGAAGACTTCATAACATCTCTTCATAGACTGGCCAAGTACTGCCGGTTCGACAACCTACACGACGAAATGATCAGGGACCGCATCGTAGTGGGTGTCTGAGACAGGAAGTTGTCCAAGCAAACGCAGCTCGGCACGAAGCTGACATTAGAAAAAGCAACCGCAATGGCAGGTCAGTCGGAGACTGTGAAGAAGCAGCAAGCTGATCTTCACATAGAAGAGTCCCAATTGAGCGTCCGCGGCGTCACCACTGATGTGCAAGGTGAATGCGAGGAGGCCTTCCAAAGAGGCTACTAAAGAAACGTGTCTGTTGTGCGAGCGAAGTCCTGATTCACGAAATAAATGTCCTGCCAAACAAGCAACCTGCAACAAGCGCAAGAAAATAGAACTCGTGGAAATGGAGCGTGCTGGTTAAGTTACGGTGTTTGTGGAGAATAACATGTCGTGTCGTCCGGTTTTTGTCCTCTATGTTATTCTCCACAAACACAGAAAATAAAACATTTTGCAAAGTTTGCTACAGCTTCATGACGGTTAGAGAAGTCAAAGCCGAAAAGCCCGCCTTTCTTGATGTCATAGAATCAGCCAAAAAAGACGCATGGAGGATTGTACAGGGTGTCACAAAAGAAAATTTACACGGTCTTTTTTACCGCAAAAATAAACGAGGCATCGCCGAACGCCTATTCTCCGCCCAAAGGTAGAGCTAGAGGTCACAACCAGATGCCAAAGTTTCAGCCCGATCCGATAACTTAATCAAAAGTTATAAGTGGTTTACTGAAAATTTCAATGGGAAAATGGCGGCTGACGGAGTTTTCAAACACATGGGGCTCTATGGCACCAGAAACCGAAAACAGGCAAAAATGGGCTCCATTTTCCCATTGAACTTTTCAGAAAATCACACAACTTTTGATTAAGTTATCGAATCGGGCTGAAACTTTGGCATCTGGTTGTGACCTCTAGCTCTACCTTTGGGCGGAGAATGAGCGTTCGGCGATGCATAGTTTATTTTTGCGGTAAAAAAGACCGTGTAAATTTTCTTTTGTGACACCCTGTACTATCAGTCCAGACAGCTCCAGTATCTTTCAAGATAGGCACTGAGACAGACGTCACTGCGATTCCAGAAAGAACCTACAGACAATACCTCAGTGCATTGCCCCTGGTTGAGGCCAAAAGGGCAGTAAAAGGGCCCAGCCGAACAAAGCTGAACGTACTGGGTGTACCGAGGGCAGATATTCGCCATAGAGAAAAGCGCATATCCGCCGATGTCTACGCCCTAAAAGTTCTAGACGAACCACTTTTGTCGAGAGGCCACTCTGTGGAGTTGGGACTTGTACAGAGACTGAGTGCGGTAGTCGACACGAAACCTGGGACAGTCGATCCAAAGGGCGAGTTTCTGGAACTTCAAGGCCTTGGCTGCATGAAACAACCTTACAAGATTAAGCTGCACAAGGATGCAGTTCCCTTGTCCCTGAGCACTCCGAAACAAAATCCCAATTCCCTTAATCAAAAAAGCGCTAAACGGTACGTTCACCCTGGGCGTAATCAAAAGTGTAGGCGAGCCCAGACTGGTGCTGAGCAATGGTAGTCATGACAAAGTCGTACAGAAGCTACAGAACTCGCATTGAGGACGAGAAGGAGGGGGAGGGAGGAGGAGGAGAAGGGAGGAAGAGGTGAAGCTAGGAGGAGGGAGGAGGAGTAGCAGGGAGGATGAGAAGGCAGGGAGGAGGGGTATACCAAATACTTTACTAGGGGGAATACGTTCCACTCCGCTCATTTGCATTAGACAGAACGCCTACAGTGCCGAATCCAGGCCAGACGGAGGAGAGATCCGAGTCAGTCCACGCGCATGTGCACCTAAATGTTTGCGGCGGGCGTGGCGGTGTCATCTCCGATTCCACCTAAACCCCCTTTATGTTTCGAAAGTAGCGCACGGTGCGTCGATGCACGTGGCACGCGCAACCCTTGGGAAGATCATGGCGGCACAGCGCAGCAAAGTATTTGGCGCAGCACTGACCATCAGAATCATTTACCGCCCGATAGCCGAGACCTCCCCGACGATAGATGGTTCTCGTCAAGCCCAGAAAACCTGTCCGCGTTGAGGCTATTGTATTTGAGAGGAGTGGAATGTATTCCCCCTAGTAAAGCATTTGGGTATACCCTCCCCTCAGGCGTTACAGAGTGTTGTAAACGTCTTTAATTTTTTTTTCTTTCAAATTACAATTAGACACGGACCTTACAACCGCTCGATTTACGACTGCCAAAATATGTCCCGCTTAGCGCACGTGCAGGCATAATTTGTTTCACTTACAACTGTTTCGAGAAAGCATTGTACGCAGCCTACCCCAGAGCATGGCCCCACCTAGAGAGAACAGATACGGCAATCATTCTCAAGAGCCACTTGCTGCCTGGAACGTCTATGGTGGTAGGAGCCAAACATAGGGATTTCTGCGCATTGCCTCTCAATTGGTACTGTTGGGATGAAGGCGTGCACATATGCGTGGATAACACAGTGACAAAGCGTGTTTTTTTTTTTTTACAATCCGATTGGACTAGCTCATTTTCAGCCTTAGAGGCATTCACGTGCAAAGGGGAATACATAAGATTGTATTCTGTATGATGCCGATTGCATATGTAGTATAGTTGAACATTTCAATGTAAATATTGTTAATAGATATCGCGCTAACTTAGTACATTTCTAGGCGTCCGGAGCGGGGACATTTTAATAATTTATTTTACCGATTTATCATCATCATTGTTGTCATCATTATCATCATCATGATCTCCGATTTCGGGGGCCCGGCCAGCATTAGCCCAGGGCCCCAAAATCTCTTAATCCGGCCCTAAAATGCAAGGAGTCTGCATGCATGCATGCAATGGATTGTCAACCAAAGAAAATTTGTCTAATAAAAAAAAACAAGACTATAAGCTTAAAAGAAAAAGCGGCTTCCTTCAATATGCCCGTCCTGGGGCCCTAAACTCGTCAAACACAAAGTTGGAGCCAAAAGTTCGCGAAGCGCGCTGATTGGACGTCGGCGAAAAAAGCGCAAAGTCATCGTCGTGGTAGGCCAATCAGTTCGCTCCGTCAAGTGCGGCCCGAACTTTGTCTTTGACGAGTTTAGGGCCCCTGTTGTCAACACCTACTTGATGACTCAGTTACTCAGTATCGGTAATAACTTCAATATGAAAAGGCTGTGTAGAACTTTGCACCCTCAAGTATTACAGCAGAGGCAGAATCCGGTCTATACCATGGTACGGAACTTAACGAGAAATATGTGTCACTTCATTTATTTCGCGTAAGAATGCCTCAGGTGTGTAGACTAAAAATTTCTGAAGATTAAAGTAACTCACATAATTTAAAGCAATTTAACCTAATTGCTTACAATTCAGCAGCTAAATTCTCCCTCAGTTACAATTTTAGTAACTTACCTAGCATTTTACTTAAATTAGGCATTGCCACATCAGGACAGATCGATGGCAGTATTCTGCACTAATAACCACTGGTGTAAAAGTCGTACAATACTTCCAAAGAATTGTCCATAATGATTGCATTCACAGTTTCAAATCGGGTAATCAACCTAATTGCTCGAAGAGTAAGCAATCAGTAGGCTCTACTTCCTTGTCCAGCATACACTATGGAATACAATACTTTCACTATGCTGAAGGGCATACATCACTGTAGATGAGGTGAATGCAAGTCATGGGCAGAGTTAGTCCAGCAGAAGTTAACACATGCTGCTTCTGGCAAGCAAGGGAAATAAAGTCATAGTGCATTATTCCTCTTAAACCCATAACTGTGGCCAGGGGCGGATTTAGAGGGGGGGTCCGGATGTCCTGACCCCCCTCTTGAATTCTGCATGTGTAATATTTAGGGCGTGAAACGAGAGAGAGGGGGAGGGAATTCCTAGACAAATGGTACGCTGACCAACACCTGACCCCCCTCAGGAAATTCCTGCATCTGCCCCTGCCTGTGGTTGCAGAATTCCTTTTCTAAACACTGCAGATTGAAGGCGTTCTCACATGCATCTAGTCCCAAAGAAGACTATTTTGTGCAAAAGCTCGCGCAACTGATGCTCCTAAAGCCCCATGCACTTTGTGCAATTTGTTACAGACCAACTGCGTTCAGAAACGCACGCATATTTCCTGGCACCAAGTGTGGACACTGCACACGTGCAGAAACTTCTAGTGCACGTGTGCAGTGTCGTGGCACACATTGGTGTCTATGGAAAGCTGAACTCGGGTGTTTTAAGCGTATAAATTTTCCATTTCAAAGGACAACATCAACGAGGATGACAAGACAGCATTGCTTTAACAGTGCTTGTTCCAGTAAAGGACACGGTACAAAGTAGAAATTGAAAACATTTTCCATACCAATACAAGGCAATGCTTTCTAAAGAGCATTGCTCCAACCTTTAGATCTTCCCGGAGATTTGGAACTAGAGTGAGAACACTACCTGATCAATTCAAGGGATTACACCGGAAGCAAAAGGTCAACATATTGCTGGCAAAAAAAGAAATCCAATGTCAATGTCTAACATTAAAAAAAAATTATACGGAAATTGAGGGGGTAGCTTGGCTTTGAACCTAGAATAGAGATGCCCACAAATAAAGAGGGGAAAAAACAAACTGACCAGTACTTTCACAGGGTTAATCCTATCTCACCCAATCAGGTACACGGAGGTTTCGGGACTAGCAAACAGCCTTAAGAACCGAGGGTCGACATTGCAAAAAGAAGTTACGGTTGTGCACGTAAATAAATGCTACGTCGCAATTACCAAGCATTGTTACCTCCATGCTTTGTCTCACCCTGCGACGTACTATGCTCAGTTTCATCTTGCGACAGACCGCAGAGGAGGCTACGAGCCATCAAAACCAATCTACTGCCTCGAGAGTGTTACGTGACCTTCGAAAGAGGAGCAGCACCGCATAATCCTGCAATATGTTTACAGCACTGGGTTGACGGGATGGCTCGTAGTGTGCGCTGCAGTCTGTCTCAACCCATCCACGAAACGCAGTTAATAGCCGAAGCTATAGGCAGGCATATCCATTCACGAGTCGGTTAGAAACCATCTGGCACATTGCTCCGACGTGCGTACCAGCATGCTGCTCCGGAACATGCATCGAAGCAATATATCAGCAAGTTTGTAACTGCTCGCGATTGAACCTGGCAGCTTGTGGCAATGGCTGTAGTGCATCGCGGGGCGAGACGGCGTACAAAAGCGAGTATTAAATACTCGTAATGTCCGACACTTTACCTCGCATTGTTGCGCACAAATGCGGGGCAGAAAGAACCCCAGCTTCAATTTCTGTTGGAGACCAGCCTAAATTGGGGCAAAGTGAAAGGGGTAAAATAATAGTAGTTGTGCAGCTCGGGCACAATTTAGTAAAGGAAGTCCAAACAAAACACGGAGGAGATAGACGCTATTTCGGAAGCAACGAAAAAGAAGTCTCCCGAAGGCCTCGGAACAGCGGGCGACGTTTTGCCAAGAAACTCGGCGTCTTTGGGAGACGCTAAATCTCTTAGCTAAATGGTGGGGCTGTCACGAGACTTCTCTTTCGTAAGACAAAGAGGATAAGTAAGCGCTTTAGTTTTTTGCATCAAAAATACTGTTAAAAAAAAAAAAAAAAAAAGGACGCAATTGCACTGGCCACGGCGGCAGAAGAGTGCGACGTTTCCTTCAGCCTGCCTTAGCTGACGTGCAGGTTGCTAATTTTACGCGAGACAGTCTCAATATCCATCCTGGTCCCTGTGGCCTTGGCGCTGCACACCTCCAGGTCGTCCAGAGACTTAGACCTGAAGATCCCGGCACCCCCGGCCCCTCCGGCAACACTTCCGAGAGGTGCAGGGCTGCCCTTGAAAGAGCTGCCCTGCGGCGGCTTGGCTGGACTCCCTGGATTCGACTTGTTCCCATTCTCAAGGGCCGCCTTGGGCTCCTCGAACCTGACGTCGGCGGAGACCACGGGTGGCTCCCCTGCCTTGAGCATCGCTACCAGCTTGGGTCTCCAGGGGTAGTCGTACGGCTGGTAGAGGTAGTGCTTCCGCCGCAATCCGCGGACCCGCGGCCGCTTTAGTGTCAGCAGCGGCACCGTTTCTGACGGGCTAGGCGGACTCTCGGTCGTCGCGGCGGCCGAAAAAGAGAAGTCGGCGATGTAGGCCGAGTTCATGGCGAGCACGCAGAGCCCCGAGTGGTGGTGGCCGAAGTCAGGGCTCCGTTGCTGCACGAAGCGGCCGCCACCGCTTCGGTTGAGTTTTTCGAGGACGTAGTCGTGTCGAGAGTCTGTCACGGCACTTAGCATTCCGAGCTCGCGGAGCGAGGCGTCCAGGTCCGTCGTGTCGGCGGAGGAGGATGGCGGTGACGTGGGGCGGGGCGATAGGCTTGCAACCGTGTGGCAGCAGTAGCAGCCAGACTCGCCAGCCAGTTCTCGCCGAAGGACGCTGGCCATCTCAAACCGGCTTCTGGAGCCCGACGCAGACGGACTGTGGTTCATCTGACGGACTCTACAAAGGGTGGAAAGGTTCCGTGCGTGGGGTTAGACTGGGGCTCGGAAGCTGAAGTCTGACGACGTAAAAATCGTCAGCATTTTTAATGTTTAAAAGTGAGTGATCTATAAAAAAAAATATCATGCATCATCATAAAAAGATACAAGCACTTCCCCCCATTCCTAAGGTAAAATTCATAAGGAAGAGAAGCTAAAAAAAATATCCAAAGACAATATATATATATATTTTTTTGTTAACCGCAGATGGGATTTTTTGGAAAAGGCAAGCTCTTTGCTTTTACCACCTGAAGTGCTCTCAAAGGTAGTCTCATCGACGAGTAATGGAAAACAATGAAGTTCAGTAAATTAGAAATAAAATATTGACTTCGAGGCTCACAATAATTTGACAAAATAGGGAAACTGAGCGGTTTATCAATTCATAATTTACACAAATGATTTTGTGACAACTTCCACGCATTGCAGGAAACTGCTCCGCAAGCTCAATCCCAGAGAGTAGTGTATGGAACCAGGTGTTGTTTCGTGCTTCCCCGAATAAAGTTTCCAAAATAAAAAGCAACTAGCATTAAATGGCTTCACCGAACCAGTAGGTGAAATGAATTCACTTTACTAAAAATTTTAACAAAGTTACTAGCTTATTTTGGTAGCTGAAGCTTGTGCCACCTATTTTTACCTCTACAGAAATGCGATATTTACCTCGGACTAGAAAAAGCTCTCGTACAGAAGCACAAGCACAAAATATAAGCAATACATGCACACTTTATTTTATAAAAAATACCAGAGGAAATGAAGAAGAAAATGCTTGCTCCCCCCCCTGTGAAACAGAAGCTAATAAAAGCAAACATTTGTAAGAAACCTTGACAAGTTCCTTCAGAAAAGATAAAGTACCATCTTCATTCTATAACTTGTATGACATATGATACACCATCAAGAGTCAAAAATGGGACATATATAGTTTGTTACATTTGTTACACTCTGTGCCAAAGTACAAGCCTCGCTTGGGGCATGTTGCCTCGAGCGACGCTTCAACTGCACAGTGCACATGCTCGGCAGATGCCAAAAGGCCAAATCTCGCTCCCGCAGCTCCCAAAAAGTTCACATTTAAAGTGAGATGGAGCTTAGCCAACAGCCGGTCAGACAACCACCCGGCGACCAGTGAGAATTGCCGCTGATATGCTCTCTTTTGCATATCCGACGTCCAGCTATAAAAATGAAGTCTGTGGCAAGGAAGTGCTGAACCCTTCCTGGAGTATGTGCTATATATAGGCCAATCGTGATGCCAACGAGCCTTTTACAGGGTTGCCTAGGCGCATGCGTAGTAGACCTGTCATTTTTGGTGCCACTTATGGGACAGTATCACCAATGGGTGACCACAGGAAGAGTTTTAACCGCAACTCTCCCCAATTTTCGTTTCACCTTCGTTTGCAACAGCTGTAACAGCTGGTCAAAGTTTATTAGAAGGCTATGAAAAGTGCTTCCCGATTTGCGGATTGATTGGTGCCAAACATTTGTGGAAAAGGTATTTTTGATACATGAGCAGGGATCCCAGTGAGCAACAGTAACGAGAGAAGCCCTAGAGAGGTACAAAGAGTTGTTCAGAGGGTTTACTAAAGACGCCAAGTGAGGTATGCTGCTTTCCAACATGGTGCTTCGATGCTTTCAAGAAAAAAATTAATACTGCGTTTTTTGCCCTGAAATTTACAATGTGTCACCAAGAGTCACCTGAACGTAAAGATAGTGGTTGGGATCAGAGGTGAGAAAAGCCACAGCTGTTGCTTCTGCTGCCAGGAACAGTCCCCATCTTTCATTGTAAAGTTTAAAAAAAATCACTTATGACGTTTAAATTGGACAATGCTAAGTCGTGAAACTTTTCCATCTGATTCCAACCACCAGCTAAGTCCTGAAACTTTTCCAACTAATTGCAATCACTAGCTGCACTTGAGCAGATGCCTCACACATTGATTACACGCTTATGAAACAAAGAATATAATCTAAATAAATGTGGGAAACAAGGGTGTTGAAGATGAATAAACATTTAGCCTGATTGTCCTAATGCTGATGGTAGTTCGACATAAGGATCTAACTTTATGAACCCATCATACCAGATGCAAGAAAGAAAACGATCTTTGAAAAACAAAATTGGGAAGTTCCTACGGAAAGCCCAGCCACCCCAAATTATTAGTAAGGCCGCTGGAATAATACTGCGAACTACAAGATAACCACATCAATATTGCGAGGTGAAAAATGAGGCGAATATTCGCATACGATTCGCGCAGAACGCTTGGGAAATGCACTATTGGATGGGTGTGTTAGTCTTCCGGCGTGGTGAAGATTCGTTTAGGAACTTACGCAACAACGATCTGCATGAGTAGTTACCATAATATTTCGGAAAAGCCCACCCAGCTTGCGGTGAGTATTTTGGTACTTGGGGCAGACTGCCCCGAGCAAGAGGATTTGCATGTACGACACAGCTGGCAGTAATATCTACTCAGCAAAAAGAAGGGTGAAAAAATACGCTACGGCGCTCGTTATCAAAATGGTGTGTACGCTACGATACAAAAAGTAATCGAAAAGGTTGAGCTAACGTTAGAGAAGAAAATGTGCCATGCTGATTACGAAAGCGTTAGCACTACAAACGATAACCCGTGGTTCGAGGGAAAGCTCTGCAATCACGGAACTTCTGACGGTTAACAGTATGGATATAAACAATACATGCCTTGCATGCAGAAGAATTGGTGCTCCGATCTGACTAGGAACAAACAAAATTCGCTTAGTGCGGCGTAAAAAAAAAGTAAAAAAAAAAAAAAAAAAAAAAAAGAGAACACATTGAAAACTTATTGCCGGCTCCGAAATGGTACGCACATTGGAATTAATCTCACTTTCAAGCGTTTTGAACGTGCACTAATTTTAAAATTCCTCGGTTAAACCTGGCACCGTGCAAATTCAAGAGGTTAGGAAGTGGTAGCAGATGTAAACTAACGGTCAGGAGGATTTTGCGGCATACACGCCTAACCGAAAACGCACGGTCGAATTCCCAACCGCTGCACGTGAAGCAGTTGAGCCAGAACTATGCGAAGAACGGACGATGGCGTACCCATTTCTTGTTTTCTAGTGCGCAGCTCAGAACATGAACCTGTCAGATGCTAGTTGAAAAGACGGACAAACTTTCGCTACTCCGTCAGAAGAAATGCCGATGGGCAACATCAACATAAACGTCCAATTTAAAAGTACAAATGTGATACAAAGAGGGCGCTCGTTGCGCAAGACCAACGTTGCCAGGAGACTCGCCAGAAAACGAAAATGCCCTCGCGTGTCCTCCAGCACCTCGCGATACTGCGATGAGACAGACCATAAACACAGGGGCGGATTCAGAACTCCGTTTTCAGGGGGGGAGGGGGGGGGGGGGGTGCGCATACTATTTTTCCATTCTTTCTTGTGCGCCGGCGGGTCCACCTGGTATTGGTCCACCCATGTCAAATTGCCCTCCGAGAAGGGGGAGGGGCCGCCTTACCCCCCATTCACACTGGAAGCGGATCCGCGTTCGCGAAGCGGTTGCGAACGCGGTTGTATAAAGATCCAGTACAAATGCACGCGCATTTGATGTCATCAAATGCGCGTGCAATTGTACTGAATCCTTATACAACCGCGTTCGCAACCGCTTTGCAAACGCGGATCCGCTTCCAGTGTGAATGAGAGTGTGTGTGTGTGCAGGGGCGGATTTAGAGGGGGGGTCCGGATGTCCTGACCCCCCTCTTGATTTCTGCATGTGTAAAATTTAGGGCGTAAAACGAAAGAGAGGGGGAGGGGGTTGCTAAACATATCGTACGCTGACCAACACCTGACCCCCCCCCCCCCCCCCCCCCCTCCTCCCTCAGGAAATTCCTGCATCCGTCCCTGTGTGTGTGTGTGTGTGTAAGGGGGGGGGGGGCGGCCGCCACTTTTGTCTTCTCTCCCCCCCCCCCCCCCCCCCCCCCCCCCCCCCTTGGATTCGCTTCTGCATAAACAGTCGTGAAAAAGTAATAAATTTGACTACATCACATCAAACATCATGTACAACACGGGAGTATCAGGTACTACCTGCTTCGGTTGGAAGCACATCAAGAAATTGAGCAACTTGTTCACTTGTTCTCCGGCCAAAATATTTCCATGGGGGAAGATTTGCTGAATATCATATTTATTGTACGGGGGCAGCTTAAAACAACTTATAATTAAAGAAGCCTCGCTGGTAGTGTAGGTCATGGTGAATTGTGCCAGCTAGTGTGCCGAATTTTTTAATTTTTTTTTCATTACGTTTAATTAACAATATTTTTTTTTTGCTTTTTAGATATACGTTTAAAAGGGTCATGAAACAATTTTTTAACTTTTTCAATCTTAGCTTTCCTCAGCTCAAGACTCCTTCCTTGCTCAGACCCTCGTTCGCGTACCTGGACACTGCCATTCCCCTCTACGTTCACCCCGAAGCTGAGAGTGCTGTAAAAGCTACGTGCTCATTGGGCCTGCCACACTTTTGCCACGCGATCACGCTACCTCGCGCATACCCACCAGGAAAAAATGAAGTCAGGTGATAAAAGGGAGGCGACTGATTGGTCCAGCAAGCACATAGCTTCCACTGCACTGTCGTTTTAGGGGTGAAAGAGTAAGTGAAATCCGGTGTCGTGTGACGTGTTTGGGCCTAACGACATGCTTGGGGTACCCCAGATGTACCACAATGAAAAGAGAGAGCTTTCGAAGGGAAGGAAATACAATATATTCCGCTGTTTTTTTTAATTCTCGTACCGAAAAATGAGGCTTGAGGTCAGATTCCCGAAACTTTCTCATGACAAAAAGTTCATAAATTTATCTTCCGACAAAGTTACCTTTTGTTGTAAGAAAGTTTCAGGAACCTAACCTCAGGCTTTTGGCTTTCTACCTTCTTTCTTTCTGGCCACTAAATGATATGCTATTAGTAAAATCCCAATCTAAATTAATTTATCTCAGCCCAGCATTTTTTTCATGGGCCCTTTAACTAACAGAACTTTTTTTTTTTTTTATGGAACAATAACGGTTAATTTCCACAAGATGATTGATTCAACCAAAAATAATCTTGAAGCGAGCATTGTTCTTCCATAAAAAATGACGAAAAACCACGAGATTAATTCTCATTCTTTTTTTTTGTGTCAATTTTAATGGACACACTTTTCTGTAGGTGTCAAAAGAACAGGCATTTGCTGGCTTCAGCCTTTTTCTTTCGAATTTGTGCTTTGTGAATGTGTCGATAAAATCTAGGCTCGAGGCCCTCCAGTCAAGTGTGTGCTCGCAGATTTCTACACAGAAAATCAAAACAATACAATAAAATAATCCTAGGATTCCTTTTAAATTGAGAGTACATTGGCTCGAATATTTAGGCCTGTAACATATTTGGGGCTAAATAAAATCTTCTGGACCTTTAACTGTATTCTACACAAACTAAATTTAAAATATTTTTTTAAAATAAATTGTATAAATTAAATTATGCAAGGTTCATGCACTCATGCAATTTCTAAGGATGAAAATCATCTTACAGTTAAGCATTTTAGTACCTGTGAAAACAAAGCTACAAGTTTCTCAAAATCTGCGCACAATCCTGCACAACCCTCTTTCCTTCCACGGTCGCAGTGTGGAAAAAAATTTCCCACAATGTCGCTTCTCCGCAATGCACCCGTACCTTGGGAGAAGCATTTTGAACGAAAGTAAAATAATCTGCAGCAGATTTTAAAAATATTGAAAAATTTCTTGAAGTTTTGCACTAGTTATTTGATTCAAGGGTTGAATAAGATATACCGATATTCTGAAGTACTAGATATTGAGAAAGATCTAACCAAAAATACTCTTATGTGCGCCTCATTGAAATCAGTCGACCACAAAATGTTGAACAATGTTTAATATGTACGCATAAATTGTATAAACAAGAGTTGAGCACCACGTCACCATACATAGAAAAATATATTCTCCGATATAAACTCTATAGAGCTATGTATTGCAAAACTTGTAGTACGTGAGACTTAACACATTCTTCACAATACGTGAAAAAAATAGCAACAGAATATATTCATTAAAAAAATTGCCATCTGCAAATGCCAACAGTAGACACGTTTCCCAAAATGGAATGTTAAAATACTCGTAATACTTTCAAATACATTCGACAAACAGGCCAAGCTCCCATTTCACGTATCGTGCATGCATGCCAAATTTCAGCATTATAGATTAAAGCAATTTTACGTAAAGTAGTAAATTTCAACATTCTTACATTGTCGAGTTAGAAATGAAAAACATGTTACAGAGAAAAAAGGTTTCATAGTTACAAACTTCTACAACACAAGTGTGAGTTCTAGCAATTACGTCGCTCGTGAAATTGAGCGCTTAAACATTCCACGAAAAAAGAGAAGATTTGTGCACTCTGACAGCCCAATAAAGGCCGAGTATGAAGAAACTCTGGAAGGCAGTACAAATTCATCTTGTAAGCTATACTGTCCACCATGCATGTAATACTCAGAAGTAATGGCCACTCTTAAGTCTACTCCACAATATTTTTGCGGATATTTCTGTTGAATCTTACACTATTTACTTTCCGCAAAAGCGTTAGTGATAGTCCTCTAAAAAGGACCTCATGGAAACCTCAGGGCAAAAGTTAACGTTGAACTAAAAAACTTGGCTCCTTAAGGTCCCTGAAAAATCTACCTCTTAGTGCGAAATGCTGGTTACCACACCCGAGCCTTCTAGTAGTAGGCTCCTTTTTAAGTTCTCCCAACGGGTTCCGACCACCCTTCGTGTTGCAACGATATTTCAGTAATGCCTATGGCAATTATAAATAGTAGCTGTCTACAATCTTGCAATGGTGACTAATTTCAGGCATAAAAGGACAGAACACGAGATTTAAAAGATCCCGAGCGGACCGCAATAGGAATATGGTAACAGATGGTAATAATGATTTATGAGAGAAATTACGCCAAAATACAAATGTGTATACAAAGATCTAAATAAGACCAAAAAAAAGTGCTCTAGTTAAAAACGGCAGAAAATTGTGAGACTCTAGAGTGGTTTATACATGGGTACAGTTGAAATAACTAGAGGTTATGTTGTGTGCATTTGAGAAATCAAAGTACACCCCCACAGGCATGTAGAATTCTGCTGTTGTACATAGTGGTCGTCTTCACAGCTTCGACTTCATGAGGGGCTCCAGGAAATTGTGGTAAGACTCGTGCACCTAAAAAGAGGAAGCAAGAAAGGCACATTAATATATTTTTAATCTTTACATTAAGCTATACATGCTTCCTTTAAAGAGTACATCTCAAAATTTTAATAGGGTGGTAAACGCATACAAATTTATAGAGAGAAAGGCCTAAAGGCGCCATATGACGTTCCATCTCCATAGGAAAATTTTCCTATAAGCTACAGGGGGAGGTACAATACGGCAACATTGATATAAGTCACCTCATTTAGCAAGGAAATCTATCATATAAAAGTGCTGCAAAATATTGAGCATTTCTAAGCTTTGGCCTTAACTAGAACATATGGGAGAGGGTGCAGCTATCTATTTTTACCCTGACATCTGCACTTTTATTATGCAAAATATTGGTTTGAAAAGCTTTCCACATAAGAAGGTATTTTATCCTCATCAATACACTGCGTTTTGGCAATAAAAAATAAAACAAAACAAAAAAAATTTTTTTTTTTTTTTTTACAAGAAATCTTGTGTAGAGGCAGTTTGCGTGTATCACGCACTCTTCGCAGTTGTTTTGAGGGAAACTGCCGATGGTGCCCTGCCTTCTATGGCACGAACATAGTTGTGAACTTGTGATGCTTTCGTGAAGCGATCTGTATCTTGATGCCAGGCTTGCCGCCGTGTGAAACGCTCACATCACAGGCGCACATGGTACAAGATCCATACTTCTCAGCTTTGCAAGTACTTCTTGCAAATACTTCTTGGCTTTTGAAAGCACCATCAATAGTTGCAACTAAACTCGGGGAAACACAAAGAGTAGTTCGGCGTTCCACACTTCACTCGTCATCCTGACAAAACCAAGTGAAGCCTAGCGCACCGAGTACCCATTATTATATAAGCCGTGTTCCAAAATGCGCTCAAACTTACTCAGGAGTAGAGGTTTCAAACCTTGGCGTTTGAAATTCTACCCTCGTTTTACGCTGCTACTCCGAGTTGTCACGTGGTAACCTGTCAAAGTACCTGAACCCACTCTCGACTAACTTGGACTGACACAGGCATGATAATTATAGCGATAAAGCGTCATAAAAACTACGGCGGCCATTTTTCGGGAGATTTGAGGTCGCGTCCATACAATCGGGAGATGTGATCGAAATTCGGGAGGCTCCCGGACAATTCGGGAGAGTTGGCAGCTATGCAATGCCAATTGTGACACGGGAGGCGGCGAGGATGGCCCGACGGCTCTCAAGAAGCCACCAATTACGTGAACACCGCCAAGCACCAAGAGGAAACGTTGTCGACGTCACCAGTTAAGCTTGCCCGGGGAAGTAAAAACAAACAAAAAAGGGCAATGGTGATGGCATTTAGCTCAATATTGGCTAGGCCAACGCCGTTGCCTCGACCGCGCTGTTGGTCGCACCTCAATTCGCCTGCTACAGTCAGCTGGTTCTCGCAACTTGGCACGTTACAAGGTTTGCCGGACCGTTTAGGAAACATTTAGACAGAACTAGGTTGTAATATTTGACGCGTGGTCTTCTTAGCTGACACTGAAGAGGGCTGCATTGTTTTTTCCAAAGCAAAATTGAAGCAGGGTTGCCCTTTAGCTCTGGCGGTACAGTGCAACCCACTTATAACGATACTACATAAAACAATGAATTGCTTATAACAATCAGTCTCTAGAGTTTCTAGACTGGAAATTATCAGTTTCTAGAGTTTCAAGACTCGAAATTATCAGTTTCTAAACGAGATACAACAATATTCAATTAAATTGATTCTTGAAATTTTGGGTTTTCTCATTATCGTTATAAGAGGGTTGCACTGTAGTGGCAATGGGAGTGCCAGCTTTTACGATTAAAACTTCTAACGCTTCTCAGATATGAATTCAAAGAATGAAAGCTCCTCGCCCAATGGAGAAGCTCAGCAAAAAAACACTCGGTTCAAAGTCTGAAGCCGCCAAAACATGGCAAAAGCGGACGCACGAACAACAACAAAAAAAATTGATTGAAAAAAAGGCGTCAACTTTTTGCCCTCAACATGTTTATTCAACGCTTCTAAACCTGGATAGCTTCCAAGCACTGTACGTGCTCCCATTAGGCAATTAAGAAACACCGTGCATCGACTCTTTCTTTGCACTTTTCCCTCACTAGAAACCCAATCACTGGGGCACATCTTTGGAAGGATACAACCAATGGCAAAAGGGTTGAAGAAAGTGACACCTAGATTGTCTAGTCCCTACCTGCGTCTTGTTAAGCGGTGCCTTGAGGGCGCTCTCGTACATGCGCTCGTAAACGCGGCCGTCGTACGATCCCAGGGCGCTGCTCAGCACCATGTCGTGGTGGTCGAAGGCGTCCACCAGCGGCACCGCATTAGGACGCAGCCTCTTGAGCAGCTCCGTGATGATGCTCGAGATGTCCGTCAGGTCCTGGTCCTTGAGACCAACCTGCAAGCGGACACGACCACAACCGATTAGAAATCTCGACGAGTCCACTTCGCCGGCTATCGGGAATGTAACCTAACATGTCTAAACGACGGCAAGAAAAATCCCCCTATAATATGCGACCAGTCACGTATCTTGCAATTTGAGTGGATGTGGAGAATTTGGCTTTGTCTAGTTTATTTAGGAATGCACCATGTACCGCAATGTCCTTCGCTCTTCTTCCCAGTTCAGCTGCTCTCAGTGCCCTTTTTGTCTGTTGGTTTTGTACCGTACGACATCACTTACAAGAAGGCAACTCGAATGTAACGAGCTATCGGTGATTCCAGCAAAATCGACGCCGCGTAGCGGCAACGCCGATAACAGGGGTGGAACTCATGAAATGTACTTGGGAGCAGCCACGGGAGCAGCTGAAACAGCTGTTTTGGAGCAGGTTGGGAGCAGCTAAAACTACATTCTGGAGCAGGCTAGGTGCAGCTCAGCTCAGTTTTCACTGAACTTCAGCTTGTGTCTTAGACAAGCACGGGAGCAATTTCAGTTGTGCTTAGCAGCACAAAAGAACAACACAGATGGTGGTTAGGGACCTATGTAGATGGGATAACAGTGTAACAGATGCGAAAACTTGAAACTTTGTGAGCCTTAATGAGAACCAAAAAGCAAGTACCATTTGTTTCTGCAGACAGTGTCCTTGATATTTTCTGAGTGGCTTTCAGCTGCTCAAAATGCAAACCAGCACTGCTTATGGCACAACTCACACCTGTTCGAGATGGTAATTATATGTGCGAACCACGTGACGTGCGTGAGAAACGGACGTGCAGTTGCGCGGAGGAACAGGGCAACAAATTCCGAGTTTATACTATTGTATAACTCAATATTGAAGCAGCAGACTACGATTAATGGAGTTATCGTGTTCTTAGCGATAAGCAGGAGCAAGGTTTGTCAAGCAAGATCTATCGCTCGCGTGAGAGCTGCTGGCCGGCAAGGTTTCGGATCGGACTGCGTTTCAGTTCTATCAAATCACGATTTATCTTGCAGGAATGCGGTTCCAACTTCTAACGAAGAAGTACTAAAAGGAATCGTTTGCTAATGTGTTTTCAACTGGCTGACGTCCGGAACCCGGGCCGCAGAGCCTCAGGTAATCTGACGCTTAATGGCTCTACCTCTTCTCGGCCGACTTGCTTAGCCGCTTAGGGTTGAAGAACAACAATCCAGTCGCAGGTGGTGTAGCACTTGGAATTGGAACCCCGAGTTTTTTCGCGCGCTTCCGACTCGGGAATTGGGATACAAAGGAAGAATAAACAGAACAAAGGATTGCAAGGCCGACCAAGCTAAACGCGCTCATTGTTGCCAATCGAGTCGATAAAAACCGAAACCAAGACAAAATGAAAAAAAAAAAAAATTGGGCGCACGTTCAGCGATTTGGAGCACAATGGCGCGATGTATTGGCTGTGGCGCAGTTTCCGCAAAATGGCGCAGGATGGCGCAGACAAATGCGTCTGGCGCAAAATGGCGCAAATGGCGCAGCCGTTCCACCCCTGCGATAAGCTCAGGAGAGGAGGTCGTTTCAACTCTTTTGTCTGCTATCGCTGCTTGGTTCTCGTGGGCAGCATAGAAACAAACATAGTTTCAAGTAATTAGTTTTATGCTTCCAAAATGTCATTCCTACGCTCCAATTAGAAGGTTTCTACTGTCGAAAAATCACTTTGCTTTCATATGTAATACCAATTTTACGCTGCAGAGCAAGAAATTTATGGCGGCGCATGTGCTGAACGAAGAAAACAATGCCCTTTCGTCTGCCATTTCGTCTGCCCAGCGCGCCCTCTATAGTTCGGTAGATCGCAAATAGACAGTGTTTGCTCTGCTCCATGGGCGCCGGCATGTTTGTTTATGCTGATGACATGATGCACTACGGGGGCTGCGCTTTTTGCGAGACTTGCTTTTTTATTAGAAACCTTCGCGCATATCGTAGCGCAAGAACGTTAGAAATGTATATTCACGAAGCTCCAAGAACAACTTCGATGCCAAGAGTGCTGTAAAAAGCAAAAATCTTGTTTTATGCGTGCCCCTCTCTTCGCAAGAGCCTGTGTTTGAGATTATTTTCCATTTTTATCACTGGTGCTAAAATTTCGGGCACTGGTCTATACTCGTTGACACCTCAAGAGAAAAAGTTTTATGCATTATGCGTTGGCTGCGCATAGTAGCTCTACAATATTCGCGACTCCAGCAAAACGGACGCCGCCAAGCGGGAAAACCGGGAACCAGCCGGTCCAGGTCGCTCCGCGCCCCTCCGCGTCTCTGGTGGCTTTCGCGGACTGGTGTTGTCGGCGCGGTGGCGAACAGTGTAATTTGACAAAGATCCGAAAATTTCTTAAGTTTGCCTGAGTGTTCAATAGTGTGGTGAAGCCTCAGTAGATTCTTTCCTTCCATCGCATGTTTGAAAGCCCGTTTACTCCACAACACACGGTCGCGTGCTTTCGATTTCTCGGATGAAGAGGAACCACGGGAAAAAGGTTTGATTTCTTGTCTGTCTCGAATCACATTCAAAGTGACGACTACTTGGTAACTGATAAGTGGTTTCTTTGTAAGGATGTAGAAAAGTGGACTGAGGACGACAGACGAGGTGTTTCACTGGAGGGAACACCAATGTTGCAGTGAAGTGAATGGGAAGGTTCAATAGCTGCTTTTCTTGAGTTTGGTTGTGTTCGATTAGCTTCAAGTTTCGGTCACCTACGCCAATCGGTGCGTTGGCTATTCATCTTGACTACTTTTCGCCGAAAAAGCTCATCTGAATCACACTGAAGGAGTTGGGCTGATTTCACCTTTACTTGATTCAGAAAAACCTGCTCGCTGCATATGATTAATGAGGGAAATTATCTGCTTTCAAAAGGTGGGGGACGCGTCTCGCAAAGTTAGAAGCTTTCACGGCATTATGATCTATCGCGCCTCCAATATTTATATTATACCCCCGTCGAAGCCAGCAGCAATATACGTCTAGATTGCTCAGGTTGACGGGCCACAAAAAAAATACTCATTTTTTTCGTTCAGGATACGAAGTTAAGTTCAATGCAGAGAGGTTCTGCGTGAATCTCCTATGAAAACTCTTCAGTTTGTCCACATTCGTCTTCGTGCTACCGGCTAGTACCATTCGGCTAAGTTTAAGAAGTATCTCTCTGTCTGTCAAATATACTTTTATTCAGCAGTTCACTTAATACCTAGTCAACTAAGCTCATATTTCAAGCCGAAGAATATACTGATATCGCTTTATTGGGACATAGTACTACGTAGTATATAATACAGAACCCGCTCGTCAAAATGACTTCTCGATTGCTTACTAAAACTGGAACTGAAATACGAGTATCAGCTGCTTAGTGGGGCGCCAGCAAGTTAACATGCTCCTTGGCTCAAGAAGCGCTTGCTTAATTTTCGTAATTTTCCTGCAGCCTGTGTTGTTGACCAAGCAGACGACTGGAGCTGTTTCTTAAACACGGATACGCACAAAAGCTCAATGTCGCGGACAGATAAGCCGCATGGTCGAGGCATGAGAGTTAGCTGAAAATTACTCTCGGTGGAACAACTCTGTAGTCATCGGCGCTTTCCTTAGTTGATCAAAACTGATTAGAGCCTATTGCCGTCTCTCCGGATCCATAGTTCCGGTTTTGAACGAGATCTCCGACACATAAGTTTGACATGAAAAGAACAAAAAAAATACCGAGAAAACAAAACTATGCTCTGCAAGTTTATGTGCACTGGCTACACTTAACCGTCTCAGTTCAAATACCTCTAAAATTGGGCATTAAAGAAAAGAAAATCTGTTAAATTGAATGCGCCACCCGTTCAGGCGTCCCGGCCGAGCCGACACGACCTGGACCCAGCCGCCATGTTTGTTTGGTGGTGGCGCCCCCTATAGGTCGCTAGAGTCGCGAATTTGGCTGTTGAAGGAAGAAACAATGCTTTAGTTTTTGAAACATGTATGTCTCGATAAAATAACACAAAGCTAATATAAGATGCACCTACACATATCTTAATTCAAAGCACTAAGGGGCAGGTTAGTAATGTTCTGCGAGAATCCGGATTTTTTTTTTACAGCGGATCTCGAGGTAAAAACGAGTATAGATCAATCTGCAATAGATATTTTGTGACATGAGCACTCTTTAATGGGCTATTGAGCCACTCGTCTGTTAAAGCTGGGGGACCCTTTTCTAGTCAGAAATTTCGAAGAAATAATTGAGTTTGTGAAATGCAAAGGCTTGAAGGGGAGGAATGGTTTTTCGATCGATGTTGAGGATTTACTTTATGCTACCTCACATGACCAACTGCAGGTGGCCGTGCAAATGTGTATTGAAAGGTATCGGGAGATTCTGCTTCGCAGTATGTAGAAATTAACGACAAATTGATTCCCGGGGTGCTGATGATCTTTACAAACTGCGTGGCCAGCCTTAGTCTCACCCACGGAGCCCCGAGCTCTGGGCGGTTACAATTTTTGAACTTGGGGCTTTGTTTTGAGGTCGATTGTGTGTGTTGGGTGTATGAAGAGGATTCTACCTTTTGACTCTGCTCACTTCAAACTTGTTAAAAGGGGAATAGCCTCCACCTGCCTGGATGCCTCGTTGAAAAAATCCCGTCCTTACAGAACAAGCACTAGCTTCTATTCACATCTACTGAGATAAGGCCAAGCGGGTTTCCCTCCCTGGGTTCTGTGAGATGTTTCGGAGAGCTTAGTAAAGAGCTTAGGGCAGACTCGTGGGCCTATGTTCATTAAGTATCTCACAACTTAAAAAAGGTGGTGAATCGTTTTCGGACTCCCATTGTTTTCTCCGTGTCGAATAAACTTCCTGTGCCATGCAAAAAGATCAAAGGGAACTCGGATGATTTGGGAGTGGCAGAGGGAATTCGTAAAAAAGCATCACATTAACAAGTTCCGAGAGTGTGCCACGGGGGTTGCGTGCAAAATCTTTGTCATGCGGAAGGGTGTATGTGGGCCAAATGGGGAGACACATCAATGACAG